TTGTCAGAAAAAAAGAAATTTGGATATAAAAATATTTCGCAGTTGCGACTTGAGCCTGCTCTATGCCCCTAGTTGGGGGCGGCAAGGCAAGAGATACTGTAAAAAGAGTAAAACTGCAGTATGCAGTTGAAAATGTCAAGGTGTTCACAATCAGACTGATCTGTCTGAACTCCCTATATATATATATATATATATATATTTCTCCCATATTTGGGTCGACAGGGTGCATCAAAAAGCACTCAAGGTAATATATATATATATATAATGAAGCTAATTCCTGCTGCTAAGTTTAATATCCTCAAGCATGAGGTGGTTTAATGGAATAATGCATAGTCCCCAAAGTCCAATTTTAGCTATGTTGCATACTCTTCTTTGATTCTTAAAGGTTACAGTTAAATTTTATCCTGCAGATTTATTATCAAATGGGTAATTCAGGCAAAACTAAATGCACTTACATTTAAAAATAGGATTTGAGGGTTACAAAACATTCCCTGCTATGGTTAAAGAAATATAGCACATAAATGCCTGTGGCAAGCTGTTCTTTGAAATTATCCTCATTAAATTATAATCATGCACTTTCAACTCTCTGTAATTAAACATTTAGATTTATTTATTCCAGATGTATTTGCTTCAAATAAATCCAGAACTTTTGTTGTAGTACTAGACCTTTTACAAGTCTCAAGCACTTACAAATTGTCAAAAAATGAAGTGAATTGTCTCCTTTGATTTTGTTTGCAGTATGTCCATTGACAACTGCATTTTATGCTATTTTGGAAAGGATACGGAACATGTTTTTTTAGGGCATTTTAGAAACTACTGGTTTCTTTTAAAGCAACCTAGTGAATCTGAAAGAGAACTACAGACAAGCCATATTATTAAAAATGATCCATATTTTAATTTCTGGTTTTGAGGAAACATTTGCAGGCTCTGCATTATCCCTTTTAAAAAATATGGATGAAACCTAAAAAACAGTTCTTAAATTTCCCCATAAGAAGGATTGGATTAATTCAGTTAAAAGTTCTCCTATTGTAAAGCTTTAGATGACCCTTTTCACATTATATAGATATAGTCATGCGAAAAAGAAAGTACACTGTCTTTGAGTTCCTTGGTTATACTGGTATGTATCAGGACACAGTAAAAATCATCTGGTCCTTAGCGGTTCTTAAAAGTAGGTAAATACATCCTGAGATGAATAACAACACAGGACATGTTATACCATGTCATCATTTATTTTACAAAAAGAAAGCCAAAATGGAGAAACCACATGACTGTGACCGATTTTATGACCTTTTTGCATTAAGCAAACATGGCACTTGTTAAGTGTTAAATGAGAACTGTGATTATTAAGCAAACCAATTGTACCCATTGAACTTTTTTTTACTGGAAATCAGAAGTAAATGCCAAAACCATCAAAAAACATTGAAAATTGTAGTAAAATGACCACAGACATTGCAAACAGCTGTAAAGGTGAGCTGGTTGCCAAGTGCCCACAATGCGATCACATGACCACAGGGTGTTGCATGCAGCTATTATAACTTCAAAATTAAGTAATAAGTACTTTGGGGGGGGGTTCCATCATAACTTTAAACAGTTACTACGTGATGGTTGTAAATCAAGAACTACCTGTATTTGTGGAATTTTAAAGGAAAGTTTTAAAAAAATAAGATCTTTCCCTATATTCTCCCTTTCTGTTTTGAAAAGCCTATCTTGAGTGTTAGAGGAACTTTCTATTTATTAATGATCTTCTGCTCAGTGCTTCTTATACACAAAGCAGCCAACTTAAAAGATTCCAATTTGAGACTATGGGAAAATATAGGGATAAGAAAAAAGCAGTAGAGATTGGTGGGCTGTTTGGATAAGAAAGGAAAATCAATTTATCAATTTATTAATACTACCATTTCAGTTAGTTTTTCTCTGGGGTTAATAGTCCTAATACCTTTACAATATGATTTACAGTGCATCATTTTTATTTCTCTAGGATGCTCTTGATGAGATGCTCCATATTCTACCTTTTCCTTCTGCTACCACTCAGCTCCTGGATGCAGAAACTACCTACTAGAGATGAAGAACTTTTTCAGATGCAGATCCAGGACAAAACTTTTTTCCATGATTCTTCAGTACTTCCTGATGGAGCAGAGATCAGTAGTTATCTCTTCAGAGGAACACCCAAACGGTATACTGATTCATGTAACATAAAGTTAAGATGTGTCTCTGTTCTTTCAGTCAGTTCAATTTTCTCAGCAACACCTTTTTTCAGAAGTTGTTTGCCATTGCCTTCTTCTTAGAATTGAGAGAAAGTAACTGGCTCAAGGTCACCCAGTGTCAACTTCATGAGATAGCCCAGACAGAAAACATGGCCAGACAAGCTAATTCTACTTCATTGTAAGATTACATTAACAGACTTTTCAAATCTGAAAGTATATTCCCTCCCCCCCATCCCCTTACAGTACAAGATATTAGGGAGGATCTCTTCTGAGTCTCTTTCCCTGATTACATTCCTACTGCAGGCTAAATTGCCTTTTATCTGACTGTTCCTTGGCTATATCTCTTTGCCCCATCTCCCAGGGTCACCTCCACATAGTATTATACTTTGTGTCTAAGGCAGGATAAGCCCACTGCTTTTCATCTGCCACAAATCTCCTTTAGTGATTGCTAGCAGAGCTCACTTATGAACACTAAATAGCAATCAGAAAACATGAAAACTCCTTAATCTCATAACACGTGGACAGACTCAACCATAATTTTAACTGGGAAACTGTAAGCATCCTAGACCAAGTAAAATCCAAAAAAATCTAGGAATTTCCAGGAAGCTTGGCATTCAGACAATCAGCCATCAATAGGCACATAGAAATAAACCACATTCATATACCATTCAAAGGGACAATAAAGAAGCTAAGAACAGAAAACAAGATCAGAATACATCTTCCCCAGCAGCCTATAGCCATATAAGGAATTAACATCAGACAAACCAAATCAAACAAACCAAATCAAGCAGAAAAGTATATCCTTATCAAGCATCTACCAAGGACAAAACCACATCCCACCAATAATGGCAGGACAAGCTAATTCTGACTGCCATATGTCAGAAATGGTAATTCTGACTGCCATATGTCAGAAATGGTATAGGGTCTCCTGCTTGGCTGAGTTGGACTAGATGACCTACAAGGTCCCTTCCAACTCTGTTATTCTGTTAATATGTAAATAAGGAACAAATGCCACAATCACTAGCACTGATGATGTTCCCTAGTTGGGAATGAAATGAAGTGAAATAAAATGAAATTGGAAGCAAACAACCAAGCTCAGAGAGCCCTAAGGACTCCACAACTCAATATATGAGCCACATATATTCTGTTCTCCGTGTGTCCTTAATGTTATATTGTGAAGAAGGTCATGCTTTTATTCATCTTTCCATAGGTTTTTTTTTGTGGTAGAGGAAGATAATACACCATTTGCAGTTACAGTGACTCCTTGTGACACACCTTTGGAATGGAAACTGAGTTTGCAAGACCTCCCTGAAGAGTCAAGTGGAGAGGGCTCAGGTAAATTACAGTAAAAACGAAACTAAGATTGTTAATTTTGTTAAATATGAATAAGCTGATGTAGCAAATATATTAAAGTCCCTCAGTAATTGCTGGTTAAAAAATTAGTGAATAAGAATTAATTTTTAATAATTGAATGATAGATTACATGTTTCCCTGGCTCATCACAAAGTCGTTCTGCTAGTTGAAACTTCTGAAAATTTTGCATTAAACAGGCAAAAAACTGGAGATAACCAATAGAGGAGGATATCTTATTTCACCTATTCCTCTCCTGCACTAATCTTAAGTGTAGCCATAAATCTTTATATGTACTATACATATGTACTAATATGTACTAATAAAATAAGCAAGCTTTTACATAACTCAAGCAGAAAAAGTATAGGTAGTCCTTGACTTTCAATCACAATTGAGTCCCAAGTTTCTGTTGCTAAGTGAGACAGTTGTTAAGTGAGTTTTGTCCCATTTTTTATTTTTCTTGCCACAGTTATTAAGTGAATCACTACAATTGTTAAGTTAATAACACAGTATTAAGTGAATCTGGATCCCCATTGACTTTGCTTGTGAGAAGGTCGCAAAAGGAAATCACATGACATGAACTCACTCTGCAGCCATCATAAATACGAGTCAGTTGCCAAGCATCTGAATTTTGATCACATGACCATGGGGATGCTGCAACAGTCATAAGTGTATAAAACTCTTTTTTCAGTGTCGTTGTAATTTCGAACAGTCACTAAATGAACTGTTATAAGTCGAGAACTTCTACAACAAAGCATTCCACCATGCTTCTCATGTGGATTATATTCTACAACAGAGCTGCCTGTCTAATTTAGAACTCTAATTTTTGAGATGGGAGGCTTTCCATTAGATAGAGTTTTCCTCTACATATTGGAAGAAAAAAGTTACAATGAGGGGGTATGGTCAACCGTCTCATCATTGCCGATTTTTCTTTTGTAAAAGGAACACATATTTTTTTATAAATAAAGAAGCTTGTATGATTAGATATCTTAAAACTAATATTTTCAATATATGAATGTCCTTATTTGGATTCCTCTTTTTTCTAATAAAAATAGAATATTATTTATATCACCCTTAAAAGCTAAACATAAAAAAAGAAATGAAATAGTATCAACTAAAATATACAAAATCACAAACTATTTATATTACAAACTGAGACATCTCTAAAGGAATTAAATTAGATCATATAAAAACTACTTTTATTATAACTAATAAAATATGAGTAAGCAATATACAAAAAAAGTCAGGAGAGCCAAGGCAGTCCAGAAGCTTAAATCCTCGATCTCGTGAATACCACTATTTCTCAGAATCCCCCCAATAATTTTAAACTTAGATTTAAAGATTAAAAAGTCATCTGTCATCCAACAATTAATAGAAATGCATAAGATTCCAAGGCTGTGGAACTGGCCTGAAAGGTCCTATAGCTTGAATTCGTTGTTGTAGCCATGGGAGCAACCCAACATTTCAGAGTCTGAATAGTTGATTTTATGAGAATGTAACTGCTCAACAATGAAAATAGGAAAGGGGAGGTATTTCACCACAATGCCTATAACAAACAATAAAATTAATATAACACAGAAAAATGCTATCCTAGTAATTGGGGCCTTTGTGCAAGGTAGAGCAATGACCTCAACCTAACCTTTCGTGGTAACTTGAAAGGCTTTATTATATATAAGCAGTATTGTATATAATGGCATCATTTACCTGTGCAATGTTTCAAATTATTTATTTATAAAATTAATATGGTCCCCTATTGCAAAGACTCTGAGCAACATAAAAAATAAATGTTTTATTGCACTTCTTACTATTAAATTATTATTAATAGTAATAATAATAGTAGTATAAAGAAAAAAATAATTAAAGCTGCTTGGGAAAACAGATAACTTCACCCATATTTGCATTCTGATTGATCTGCAGCATTTATAAACATTTTGTAGTGGTATGTGAGAATGAACTGAGGAACAAGGGAAAGAAATGCTGTAGATGAAATGATCAGATGAGGAGAGACAGCCTAGTGTGGCTTAACTGTCAGAAAAATAAGCTTAGGAAGGACCCATCTTAATAGATCAGGAAATTAAAAGCAGCAGCAGGAAATTTGTAACTTCAGACTTTCTTTTAATCTAGCCATACAGTAAAGTCGAATTAGTTCATCTAATATTTCTTGACTGGTTTTCTTAGGAAGCCAATACATTTAGACCCTCCCTTTAAAAAGCATACTTGTGTTTTGTGTTTGCTTTGTTTCAAAATCCCTCATTTTTGTCTCTTCTAGGTGACCCAGAGTCACTTGAACAACAGAATCAGCAGATTATTAGTGAAGAAGGCACAGAGCTGTTTTCATATAGAGGAAACGATGTTGAGTATTTTGTATCCTCTACTTCACCTTCTGGGTTATACCAGTTAGAACTCTGGTCAACAGAAAAGGATACACACTTTAAAGTCTATGCTAGTACAACTCCAGAGTCAGATCAACCATATCCTGAACTACCTTATGATCCAAGAGTTGATGTCACTTCTCTTGGTCGTACAACTGTCAGTTTGGCATGGAAACCTAGCCCTACAGCTTCAGTATTGAAACAGCCAATACAATATTGTGTAGTTATTAATAAAGAACACAATTTCAAAAGTTTCTGTGCTGTTGAGACTAAACAGAGTGCTGATGATACATTTATGAAGGCTCCTAAACCTGGTCTGGATTTTAGCCCTTTTGATTTTGCCCATTTTGGATTTTCTTCCAACAGTAACTCTGGGAAAGTAAGCAGCTTCTTAAAATCAACACCAAAGCTTTATTCAAAACTTTATTCAAAGCCTAAATTTGATCTGGAAAAGATATGCATTGGAAACAAGAATATATTTACTGTATCTGAACTGAAACCTGGTACACAGTACTATTTTGATATATTTGCTGTAAATGTCAATACAAATATGAGTACTGCCTACGTTGGTACTTTTGCAAGAACTAAAGAAGAGGCCAAACAGAAGACAGTTGATTTAAAAGATGGGAAGGTTACAGATGTGTTTGTTAAGAGAAAAGGCACCAAGTTTTTGCGGTTTGCTCCTGTTTCATCACATCAAAAAGTTACATTTTTTGTTCACTCATGTCTTAATGCCATACAAATGCAAATCAAAAGAGACAGAAAACTTCTGTTGTCTCCAAATGTTGAGGGCGTCCAGCAGTTTCAGCTTAGGGGAAAGCCAAAAGCCAAATACCTCATTCGACTGAAAGGAAATAAGAAGGGAGCTTCCATACTGAAGTTTTTGGCCACCACAAGACCCAATAAGCAGTCATTTCCATCTCTTCCTGAAGATACAAGAATTAAAGCCTTTGATAAACTTCGCACATGTTCCTCAGTCACAGTGGCATGGTTAGGTACACAAGAAAGAAACAAGTTTTGCATCTACAAGAAAGAAGTAGATGATGATTATAATGAGGAGAAAAAGAAAAGAGAACAAAATCAATGTCTGGGACCAGACTTGAGAAAAAAATCAGAAAAAGTCCTCTGTAAATATTTTCACAGTCAAAACCTACAAAAAGCAGTTACCACAGAGACAATTAAAAGTCTAAAGCCGGGCAAATCCTACCTTCTGGATGTTTATGTCATAGGACATGGTGGGTACTCTGTCAAATATCAAAGCAAATTGGTGAAAACAAGAAAATTGTGTTAGGAATCTTTTACATAAAAATCAGCAGAACATTATTGGATTGACTAACTACTTATACAGAATAGAAGTTGTAAACTGTATTGATATTATGTATAGGAAATATTAACATCTATATTTATGTTTACAGAAGTAATTAAAAAAGACTCAGATTAGTGCTCTTCGTTGGTATCTGACGATTGCATTATCATGCATCTGGTGGTCTATGTTTGATGATCAGTAAATAATGAAGATAGCAGGGAATATTGAAGAACCTGCCCTTTTTGGCTTCCATATTGCATGAAGTGCTTCTAAATTATTTTATCATATCAAAGGCTAACACAAATCATTCAGTAGGATATTAATCATAGGCAAAGACAAGAACCAAAACTTCCATCCAATCTCTTTTCATAGATTACGGTTTATGTAAATTATTTTTATTGTCTTGTTTAATATATCTAGGTTTCTATGTTGTAAACTATGAAAAATCTTTTCTTGTTAAAAGCATAGATCTAAATTAAATATTAACTGGGGTTTCCAGTTTTATTGTTAATATAAATTCCTATTTGCTTAATTTTAAATGCTTTAAAAGTTTATGTATTTCATGTTCAAAATTGTCAGTCATTATATTCCTGTACATAAAATTAAAATATTATATTATACATTCCAATTGATATTAATGTTTCATATATCTACATGGCCATATACATATACTGTACATAAATTTGTATAATTGTGAATGTATATTGAGCATCTTTAATTAGTAATTATCTGAACATCTTTAATTGTTAAGTATATTTCAAATATTTTAGCACAGTTGATAATACACAAGTGGAAGCTTTTTCAATTTGTCAGATCAATACTTTCATCTATATTGAAACAATAAGATAACCTACTTGTGCTTAAAATTGAAGAAACTGATATGAATACCTCTTTCTTTTAATTCATGGTAATAGCTTGGACTATCATATAGTAAGCAAAATCCAATGCATAATCGGCTTTCTTAGTTTTTGCTGATTTCCATAGATATTTATATCATTGTAATTATATTTTGGATTGTGCTATGTGACCTACATATTGAACACTTCAGAGATAACAAATGAAAGGAAGGCAAACATGGATTATTAATAATGTTTATTCTCTGCATTTTCATAGAAATCAGATGAAAAGTTAGATCTTCATCAAGCAGTACCTTTTATGTTTTCATTTGTTTTCCTGAAAACAAAGCAATTCTAGCAATTGTTTTCATGGTATTTTTTAAAACAGAATAATATCAGAATTTATTCACACATCTCTAGCTTTAAAATTTGAAGGCAGAATTGAATGAAATACTGTATATAGCAAAGGTAATATTTTTTTAGTGGAGATAAAGCCTGAAAAAGATGCAAAGCTGATTAGGATAAAGAATAATGTGGGCATAAGGTGTGAAAACACTTTTCTGATCAAATGTTGGCCAATGGGCCAACTTGTAACTCTCCAAAGATCTAGTTTCCCTTTTTTTCAGAGAGTTTGGGTTTCAAGCAGAAAGTCCAACTCATTATGGTACTTTAATTATATAGCCATTTTTTTGGAGATAAGCAGAAGCAAAATGGGTAGAGAAAGAATTAGCAAGAAATGGCAACAAAAATTATGTTTTCTTTGTAACATGTCGTCTTTAGTGCAGGCAGGACTAGAATTGGGAAAAGCAAAGTTTGGATTTAGCAGATTGCAACTATACTGACTATTTCATGGCACTTTGACAGTTCACTATAAAAAAAACTGTTTAACAATATCCATTCACCACCCTACTCCATGGTTTTCAGACTCCCTATTTTTCTGGTGATCAAGATGTTGATATCATGGGAAGCTGTGTTAGAGAAGCAATTTGTAAAGCATGTAAACAAAAACAGTTGACATTTCCAACAACTTCCTATCTGGTTGTGAAACCATAATCTCTAATTTTGCAGCTGGATCATTTTTCCGAAATATACAAATTCTCTTTTGAATACAATTAAACTCGTTTCTGAAATATTTCTGTAGATAGCTGTATGGTTAACATTGTGCTTGATTCATTTTATACTTCCAGATGACTGAGCATAGTGCATATTATCCAGTTATATTCAAATTAAATATTACAGCCTTTATCATATATAACAAAATCAGAATCTTTGTCACATAGGCTTGGTAGGTATCTATGCAGGAAAATATAAAGGGGGGAAAGGTTGGAATGTTCTTGTAACTCCAAATTTAATATAATAAGGATTCAATCAGCTCTAAATGCAGATTAAAAGATAAATGGAAGGAAATGAGAATACGCAACAATGCCTTCAGTTACTTTTATTGTTCTTGTGGATACCTATGTTTGGACTGGATCTAAGACTGGAACAGAACAATAACAACAAATTAAATGTATATGCCATCCGATGTCCAGTGACTGAATATTTTGGATGGAGTGACATTTCTCATAATTCTAAAAATTTACAACTCTGTGTCAAGCTTCTCAACTCTTTTGACTAAAGACAAAAAAATGACTTATATTACACATTCACTGTAATATATAGCTTGACCTCTTAGGTAGACAAGCAACATTTGTAAACCAGTGGGTTACTTGGAAATTTGAGAGTACCGTGAACACTTATTAAATTAAAGGAATTGAGATTTTACCTGTTCACACAATGGTAGCTTTAGCCAGAATGCTAATTCCAAACTATTTATTAAAATGTATGCTTTTGCCTCTTTAGCATTACAAAATGTTTTGTTTAAAAATGTACAAAATGCGGAATGTATTTTTTTTCAAGTTTGGAGCAAAATAGATTCATTTGAAACTTTTAATCAAGAAGGATTGAATTGGCTGTGTTCTGATGGATCAATCCTCAAAATAGCTTCAGTGTTTTGTTTTGACCTTGAAACAAAATTTTCCAAATGTTCACATTTTTGTTTGGAGGCTGCAGTACTCAAAATGGTAACTGTGATTTAAAAAGTACATTTGAAACTTGCATTACTTATCTACTTATCTGAACACTGTTCTCTCTATTTCCCCCCTGCTCCACCTATACAGTGGCAGCATTCTTAACAGTTTTTCATTAAAATGCAAAAAAAATTTCATAGGGTTTTCAAAGAAAATATATTATAAAACTTAGCATGCTAATATTAACAGAAGGTCCATCTACCGATAGGGAAATTTAGTAAGAACAGAAATATTTCTTAAGAATTAAGTTCTCTTATTCTTTAGTTAATTTCATATGTTCATGCTGTTCTTATTTGGGATAAGCAAGTAAAGTAAAGCAAGTAAAAAAAATAGTGAAGTAAAAAATTGAAAGGAAGAAAAAGAAATATAGATAAATTTAGTCTACAGCAATACTACTCATTAAACTCCTCCATATCTTTCTATCTTTGCAAACCATTGTGACTTTAAACATATCAATGTATTCATTACTTTTATAAATTACAATTTATTCATTATTTATTTTTATTTATTGTTTTCTTTAAATAGTTGCCTCTTGTTTTAAGGATCATTAATTCCATAGAACCATGCCTTCCTTAGAAGGTCAATTATTATTCATTTGAACCTTCATTTCAATCTGTATATTCCTATTTTTTACTTTTTGTGAATTGATCTTCAGTTTGTCTGCATGACTGAGTTCTACCTCAATGTACTTCTTTTCTACTGTAGCTCACTTTGTTGTTGAATCCTCTTTCATTTAGTATGCATAAATTCTTGATTGTATTTTTATTCTACTACACCCAGTTCTTAAATATCTATTCCTAATTAATTAAATTTACTTTAAAATTTCTCCCTACATACTGAAATCTTATTTCCATATAAACAAAGATACAATAAAGTGGGCAAAACCACTCTCTCATACACAACCACTTTCATTCTTTCATTCATTTTCATTCATTGTATGGTTAATGTGAAATATCCTTGAGGTTAGCATGCTATTCTAATGATTTGATTATAGTTTATATCAATTACAATTGATTATTATTCTGAAACTTTCCCTTAACATAGATGTGGTTAAAAGATGACATTCCAAATATCTAAGGAATTATGGCATATTCAGATGAAGGGTACTCAGACCTTTGTAAATAATCCATGAAACTCAAATCAAAGAAGACTTTCTGCTTTATTCCCAAACTATATAATGTACTTCCTCCAAAGTTGTATTTAATGACCACCCCAAACACATTGTTCTGCTTTTAAGAGTTGTGTTAAGACCTCAACCAGATATTTTAATTTGTTCTAAAATTGTTCTACTGAATCTTCAGTGGGGAAAAATGTTGAATAAATAAGACATTTTTTTTATTTCATAAAATTTCATATTCCAATCTATGATTATGATAAAGATATGAAATATAGAATAGTTAGTCTTTTATTAAATAATCCTTAAAGTATTTTTTGGTATAAGATGTTGTGGCTAACTGGGAAAAATCATCAATCAACAATTGTTACTATTATTGCGAACTTGGATCTTCAACTGCAGGAAAGTTTTGATGTTTTTGTTTAGTTTTCCTTTGCAATTAGTAATATTTTTATGGTAATTATCACCTGTCTTGAGTATGTCAAGGACAGAAACACAAACTAAGTAGAAATTGGAAGTCACAGAGGCAAGCAGAGCAGTGGCAAGATGTGAGATGGGAAAGGGAGAGCAGGGACATAGGTTTCTATGAATTTGTTACTAATGTAGGAATTTCAGATTGCTATTTACTATTACCTTTAGTTACTATTAAAAATTATTTTCCAAACTGACAAGTACTGTAATAATCTGAACATCATAGATCATTTCAAAAAAAGAATTGGTAGAAGCTCTTGGAACTCTTCAGCATGTGTTATGAAAAGGAACATACTCTTTAAAAGGATCAGTCTTATAATTGCTGGTGCAGTGTTATTCTTTTGGGATAACTTTGCTTGTAATTTTAATCAATATCCTGGCTTAAATATTCCAGGAATGCAGGCTCTTATATTCTTGCAAACTATATGGGGGGGGGGAGAGAGGGGATGGATGGTAGCCTCTTCGTGTTTTCCAAGGGTTGAATGCATTATTGGGTATTTTTAAAAGAGATATAATTTTCACATATTATAGTCAATCTGGATACTCAACTAACTCATTTTCTGAGAATTAAACTGGGTAAGCCTTGGAAAGGATTAAAGTATATACAGCCTATGTTTGGATATTTAATTTATAATGTACTGTATATGTTGTATTTATGTGCAAATATATCTAAATGTATAGGTTTTACACAATTATTAATTGCTATTTGGTACTGAATGAATGGGAACTGTGATTTTAGCTTTACTCTATGTTTTCAGTTATGTTGACCACCAGAAAGCATCACATGATGAGTTTTTACAGGGACTCCTTAGATATAAATAACTATTTTATGGATTCAACCCTCTAATGGGAATTGAACTTGTGGACCTGTACTCCCCCCCACACACACACACATCCCACAGTGAGAATAAAGGCAGTGGTTCCAAGATATTTCACATGACAAGCTCAGCAAGACTGGAGGGATACAGGAGCTCTTGACAAGGCTCAGTCCATGAAGACACAAGACACAGTCCAAAGTCAGCCCAAAGTCCAAACACGAGTTTGAGAAGCAAGACACACAGAATAGGACATTTGTTGCAGCAACACCCATCTTTTTGGGCCAGATTAAATAGACAATATCAGTTT